CACATATACGCATTATCGAGATGAAAATGAAGATAAGAAAAAAAAGAAAGAAAAGAGTACTGTATGTACGCACGTGTACAGACGGATGATAAATAGGAGGAGCGCGTGCTGTATTAAATTCATATATTTCACGAGAGCAGGGGGAATATTGCGAGAAGAACAAAACATCCGAGATACACGTGTAGCGTTTGTAATTACAGTGTCTCTTTATTATGTAACTGTGTATGAGCGCTCTGGAATTATCGTATATATTTGTGTACATGGTTCGGTGTAATCGCGTTTCACGAGCAAGCAACGCCTGTCCCTTAAAAACTGGAAAACTCGAACGTTTAAAAATTCTAAAGTAATTTGTATAATATTCCATAGTTGCGCCTGTATGCCGGGCTATTTTTCTTTCAATAAGCTCACGATTGAACGGTGCTTTCTGGCTCTATTTTCCTCGATCAATTGTACAGATTTATCCAGTTGATTCGCCACTGGAGAAATCAGACTGCGTTTGCGGCGAAGTGAGGCGGGGACAGGTGTGCGTTGTAGCGCGATTCGACGAATCGAGAAATTAATTGTAACGAGAAAGCAGCGAACAAACACACCGAGAACTTTTTCGACCAACCGCGACGCGTTTGACGTGTTCGACGTTCAAACGACGTCCCAACATATCACTTGAAGAGTTTATCGAGGGCGGGTCTCGCGATCGTCGCTCGCTCTCGCGCGATCCTGATCCTCGTGCGGGACTTTAGCGTGGCGTTTGCCGAGCGTTTATCTTTGTTCGTTCTTCGCTTCTGCGTATCTAATCACGTTTCGGCAATTTCTAATTTAAATTGCAATTTTTCCTTGTCGGTGTATTTCAACGTTTCTCCAACATCCGCACTGTGTGTACCGATACCGAGTATCGAGCAACGAGTTGAAACCTTTGGAGAAATTGGCAATTTACGCTGGAAATTTCGAAATGCTCGTCGTTGAGACTTCGAAGGTCTCGGAAGAATTTTTAGATCGTAGCAGATGAGCGAACGAAAACGCGAAAGATGTGACGAGTTGCGCGAGCGATAGTATTTTAAGTTTCTTTCACTTTCATTTCCTCTATACATCTCTCTCTCTCTCTTTCTCTTCCTCTTTGTCTTCACGCGTCTCGATTTTTACATTTTTCTCTATCCTCCTCGTCACTCCTCTTCTCTTCTTTTACTTGACGACACAAGCATACACACACGCGCGCACGCACACACACTTTCGCACATACCTGTGCACGACCAGAGAACGCAGAGGGATTAACCGTTTACAGAGCCGCGAATTTGATTACACGTTCGTTCTTGCGGTTTCTTTCCCTTATCTCCTGGGTTCCGCGTGTTCCAGAATCGAAAGATTCACCTTTTTTTTTTGTAGTCTTTCCCAAATGTATTCGAAATTCGCGTTTGTACTGTAAGGGACGAATATTGCGTTTAGTCCGCGAACGATATTTAAACGTAGCTGTAACTATGAAATTATTTAAACGCGTATTATATTATATTATATCTGTGTATTTAAATGTTTCTTTCGATCAGACGCGTCGACACGGCGTGTAAACGGTTAAATGGATAATCGAGAAGGAAACAGACCTCTTCGACCAAAGAGACTATTTTTTTGTTTTTGCATATCGAGGCTCAACTTCGAATTGTCGTTAAATGTAATTCGATCCACTTGTGTTTCTTTTCTTGTTTCATCGTCGGACGAAATCGTTTCTAATTCGAGTGATCGGTTCGAAAGCGTGGAGAAACCAGAAAAACGATCGTCCAACGAGAAAGAGTATTTTCTTCACCTCCTCTCTTCGAGACCCTTTTTCACAGGGATGCTTGGGGTTGTAGACAGGCTATAATCCACGATTGTTAACAATAACAGTTTATCTGATAATATAGACTCGAGAATAAAAATAACTCTGTAACAACTAGGACTATTTCTCTACGACTCGAACTCTAGAACTATTCTTCGATACTTCAGCTCTGCAACTTCTACAATTCTCGCTCTCTCAGTCACCCTCGCTCTGTGATTCCCTGATCTTACCTTCTTCTATCTTTCGCATCAGGATGTACCTTGTTCTAAACCACTTCCAATCTACCGTACGCTCCTTTCTAGTGTCTATTCACCATTCTTTACCCACTCTCTCGCATCCACAGCCCTCTTGGTGGTCCAAGTGCCAATCCTTAGCGATTACAGGCACGTCCCACTTTTTCAACACCAAGTTTGTCTGAATATCTTGCCCTTCTGGCTAATCTAGCCCCCCCTATTTCCGTCCACTAGATAGCAATAGCCATCTAATCCTTGGTGTCCCGGGTGGGTTTTGTAGCCCAAAAATCTCAGCTCGACCTTCCTTCTGATCCAGTTCTGAAACCCTGTCGTCCTTCTCGTAGTCTATTTTCTCGTCTCCTGTCTCGAGGGGATGAAAATTCCAGCTGTTAGGCGTTCTTACCCCCGTCAAAGTTTTTGTTCGTCATCGAACAAGTCTACTGTATCCATCTCAGGCCTCCTAAGTTGTGTGTTCCTGTTTGCTCAGTAAAACTCAGGGCAAAATTGGGAGGGACGCGATTTCATCCCCTCTTCTAACGTCCTTCTTAGGATGCAGACTCTGTAAAATCTGTCACGTATCTCAGTCTTGATATCAGCCGGAGGAACCAAGGGAAAAGTAAGGGAAATGGGACACCTTCGACTTGCAAGCCGAGTGTTCGAGCATCACGCTAATAACGTTCTTTCTATTTTCCCTCCTTGATCCTACACTTGGAAACTCTCTTTGCCTCTTTCTCTCTCTCTCTTTCTTTCTTCGCGTCTCTTCTCGTGGCTAATTTTCCCGAAGAACCTTGGCAGATTGTTTGGAGAAGGGTGGATCGCGAACGAGCGAGTAGAACTCGACGGGAGAACGCCTCGAGGATGGAAAGAATTGCGGTGTTCGCGGCGCGGAATCGCGCCCGGACTGATCTCACAAAGTAAATAAACATTCTAGTTGTTTCGCAGAGAGAGAGAGTGAGAGAGAGAAGAATGAGCAACGAGCGCGATGTTTCTTAGATTTAGCGAGAAAGCAAGGAGATAAATGGTCCGGCTAATTTCGCGAGAAACAAATAGAGGAGGATCCTCCTTGATAATTCTTTTCTTTTCTCTTCTGCCCGTTTTCCTCGTGCGAGGCTAAATCTTCGTGACCGAAACTTTTAACTCTTTCTTTCCTCTTCATTTTAAACGTAGAATCCTTTTACATTTGCACCAGAATTATTTTATACGCTCGTTCGAAGAAAAACGAAGGGAGAAAAGTCGCGCCAGGATTTCGGCCGAATTTTCCAAGCCTCGATTGTCGGAAAGCAGAAGGGAAAATATCGTGGAGGTGGAGGAGAGAGTGAGAGAGAGAAAAGAAACAGTCAGAAGAGGTAGAAGAAAGAGAAACAAATGGATCGAGAGGAAAAGAACGAGGCATTTGTTCTAAACGCATAGACACACATATACATGCATACATTATACACACGTTTCGTGTATCGTTTCTTTGCTTCCTTTTTTCGTCATTGTCGAATATATGTATCTGCTTCGTTTTCGTTCTTTCCTTTTGCTTTTTTTAATCTCGACGATAGATCGACGGGCTCACCGCACAAACACACACACACACACACGTGCGCACATGTACACTCATACACGAATA